GGTTAGAAATAGATGGGTTCCACAGGTTTAGATTGGTGTAAGCCATAAACCAGGGAAACCCATCTATTTCCCCACAAGGTCACCTATGGTTTGGCCGGTTGATCTTTTGGAACATCGCTCTTTCTATGGTGACTCGACAAGGTCCGCACCTTAAGAACAACGTTGTTCAGGTCTCTAGATTTTGTTTGCAAGTAAGTAATATCAAATCCGGAAAGAAGGGAACCCACAAGTACAGACGCTTCATGAGTGAGCTCGCTTTACCTCCAGATGAGCTCGCCATAAAATAGGCAGAGGGGTCCCCATTTAACCTTTCAATGCCCCAGAAGGAAGCTCGTTGAAAACGCCATGTTTAACAACCACCTTTTGTTGAGGGGAAAGGGGGATGTGTCAAGATAGGGGGGACCTACATTTTTTGGTGGTTTCACTTCAACCACTTGTCTAGGGCCCCAACCATGTACCCCCAGGCGCTTCAAAATGCTACAGAAGCTCCAATACAGAATGGGCACGCGTATATAGCGCCTTTGGTGCATTTTGCTTGGATGTTCGGACTTTAACCTTTTGCCAACTAGTGGGTTTTCCATTAAACCACTAAAAGTTAAACGTTTAGCAGGGCTTCGCAGAAAGCACCCGAGTTGCCATATCTTGTTCAACAGGAAAAGTCAGTCAGGGGTGCCTGCCCAGGACCACCCTGGAGCCCCGTCTGACTCACTTCCTGAGTTGGTGGACTTTGAACTTTGTGGGCTTGGACCATTAGTGGTAAATAAAAAGTTCAGACTTTTTTTGGCCAGTCAACTTGGGAAGTGAGTTGAGGTGTCGCTTTGCCGGTTTCGAACGGTTCCGCTCCGATCGCTCGCCGATCGCAGACGGTGCTGCTCTGCGGGTGCCACTTGCCGCTGCAGGGCCTGTTGGGCCGCGCCTTGAAGGCGACTGCGGAAGTTCGGACGTCTTCGTTCGGTAAGCGAATCGGCGGAAGCGGAAGGCGTATCCGCCGTTCCCCAGGCGAACGTGCCATGAACAAAGTGGAACGGACCAGCCCCTGGCCGTTGTTTTTTTTGTGCGGAGATCCGCCGTGGCAATTCTTTGCATGATTTGATGGTTCTGGGAAGATGATGGTACTTCCAGGTTTTGATTATATGACTCATTTCTGCCATAAACGATTGCCTGGGGATAATAGGGATGGTCATCCACCTGGTAGTAAGAAACCTGGTATAACCACAATGATTCCTGTTCAGGGAACCAGGACCATCGGCCATAGGATTTTTTGCCCCGTGGACTTACAGGGAATCTATCACTAGACATATGCCATGCCTTTCTTCCGGAACAGTTTAGGAGATGGAAGCCATCGACCTTGTTCGACCAAGTCCAAAACCCCAAGTGCTGTCAAAGCAGACTTTGGGGGATGCTGGATGCTTAGACGAGGTTCAACCCCATGAAAAGGGGATGGATGATCTTTGAATTTGTCCAGACCCCGCATTCGACACATATTTGGGTTTGTGTCACGATAACGGAACCCCCCAACATTGGCGGTTTTCCTTGCAGCCTGAAACGGCCCCCCTTTGAAAACACACACACACACATCCCATGTTCTCTCTTGTTTAAACGACCGTTGTTCAAGCATGTTTCTTTGCATTCCTGCTTTAAACCACCATAGATATGTTGGTCCCTGCCTGATTTGGCACCCAACCACACACTCACACATAGGAGTGTCGTTTTGAGGCCAACCATTTGGATTTGGGGGGCTCCCCACTTCAGCCAGACCCATATTCAGTTGCGCGCATTTTTGAATATCGGCACCCACCGAAGGTCTAAAAGGAAGCCAAGATTTTGGCAGCGATGCTTTGAAGTGAGCTTTGTGAGGCGTGGCTTTGTCTTTTATGGGGAACCTGTTGCTTAAGTTTAAAGGGAACGCAACAGGAAACTTGCATTTGTTGGGGTCCAAAGAAATGATGGTAAAAGGGCACTACTGGAAAACCTAGGTTTATAGGGGTCATTCCATTTCTCATTCCCTGCCTATCGCACCAGCAAGTTTTTTGGGTCTGTCGATTTGTTTTTGGAGACAGCTGGGCTGTGCAAAATGGAGCATTGGCCAATCCGATGTTCCAGAATCCCTATGGTACAACCACTAAGGGGACCAAAACTTTTGGAAACCAAGGCAAGGACATTCAGGCGGGGCCTTTGTATTTTCAGAATTTCAGCATGCCAGGGTGCAAAACAAGCTGTCTCACCTGTTGGCCAAAGATTGAACGGGAAACCACGGAAAAACCACACCTCTGTTTTCAGAACATGAGAGGCCCACTAATCTGGGTGATATTTAACCAACCTGAATTCATTGGGGGAATATTCCCCACATAAACCACCATTTGGGGTGAGCTCGTGTGAGGTTGTTGTAGTTTATTAAGAAAAAAACATATGGAGGGCCCAGTTTCTGGTTCCCCACCGGTTGTGCCCCAGACACAAAAACACGGCGTCACGGGCGTCACCGGCGTCAGGACGCCTGGGCCTCGACGCGCGCCCGGGACGTGCGCCGCTTCGAGCCCTTGGCATACGCCTTGGGCCACGTGGCGCCGCTGGAGGACGGCGCGCCGCGCGCCTTCGGAGGTTCGACTCAAAAACGAGTTCTTCGTTTCGGAGGGTCGCTTTCTGGATGTTTGGGGGCCATGTTGGCTATCTTCTTCGTTTCGGACGGTAACTGTCTGGATTTTTTTGGGGCCGACCGGCTATCGTGAAGCGAAGCCGGGGGAAAAAAAGGACACTTAAACCCCTGGTGTTGGCAAAGAAGAAGTCTAAAGTTTGGATCTTTCGGAGCGATTTTTGCCAGCCCTTTCTTCCTGAGCTCCGTTTTGGACGTTGGTCGCCTTTTTGGAGGTTCGGGTGCCATTTCTCGTGGCAAAGGAGAAGCTTTGGCTTGTTTTGGCCCAGGCGCGGCTGGAAGTGAGCTGGAAGCCATCGGATCTCTGCCCAGGTTTTGGGCAGCTTTCAGGGTTCCAAAGGGTTCCAGAGGGTCGGGGATACCCGGGTTTCTTGTTTGGAGTTGGGACCCTCGCAATTAACATAGAACCCGACGTTCTCCCTTTTAAACAGACCGGGTCCCCGTCAGGTTCCAGGTTACCTGGACCCAAACTACCCTTAGAAGGAGGCACTTGGCTTATTGTGGCTCTACTTGGCTTCGCGTCGATTGTATTCAATCTTCTTCCCGCTCAGCTTAGCCTGTGGGATCTTGCAGTGATACAGCTTTCCAACATCTTATTTCTTATTGGGCCCGAAATATATCTGGCTTTGGGTGTTTCGGACAATGAACCCTGCTTTTGTTGTATCTGTAGTTTGCCATCCCCACCCCTTTAAATATGGAATTGGGGGAGGGGGTGACCCCTGGAATTCCATTTATGGTTCCATTTCCTTTAGATAACTGGAAGACAAGATAACTGGAATTGGAGACCCCCCCCACCCTCCTCCCCCTTGTGGTAGGGGGGATAGTTTGCCTTTAGGAACTTTATCAGTACCTGGAGTCTCCATGACCCTTAACGTGGGGACATTACCCCGCATAAAGGGCTCATGGACCCATTTTTAAAGGGCCAGAAGGAGACTCCAGGTAGTTTATGCCTCTAGGAAAAACCTCGGTTTTCCGACGCAGGAGTACGGCTTGCAAACCATCCCCAACGACGCGGACCCCTCGGACCTCGGCTTCTTCCGGGCCTTGGCAGCGGATTGCGCGACCTGAGATCCGACCAAAAGTGGCGCAAGCTTTTGCGCCTGCGCCCGCTGCGCGGGCGCGTCTGAGCTGGACCAAGACTACTGGACCAAAGCTGTCCTCACTTCCTGAGTGGATGCCCTTTTTTGGTTTAGTTCCGAATGGTCCCAAGAACGGAAAACCAAGTAAATTCGAAGCTCGGAGTGGAGGCCATCCGGGCACCTTTGGGAAGTCTAAAGAGAAACCGAATAATTTGTTTTTATAGGGGTCCATTTGCTATTTTCCGGGTTGGTTTTAAAGGGAATCTATCACCATACTGGACATATCATCTATTTTTCGCAGGGGACTTCAGCAAATGGAGGTCGGGGTCCATATTTGGTCCGGTCTTCCAACAAGAATCGGTTTCCCATCGCCTGGCCACAAAAATGCCCCGAGCATAGGCCCATCGGAATCTGAGGCCAATCCGCCACCTTAGTGGCAGTTTCCCGAAAGTCAGCGAAGAGGCAATGTTGGGAGTCCACCCGTGGAAAGGGGGTGTTCCCCGAGACTAAACGCAGCTGGACCGCCCCCCTATGAATCAAGCGGTTTTTTTCCGTTTCATCTGGGTTTCCCATAAGGTAGCCAGCGGATCCCAGATCGGTCACCAGCATGCGAAACCGTCCTTTTGGTTATGAAAGGCTCGCAAGCCCGAGTTTACCCGAGATACAGGTCAACGGAATCACTGGGGTAGGTTTGCTCTTCCCAAGTGCAGGTCAGGAACTCCTGTTTGTTGATTTGAAGGAGCCCACCCGGGCCCAACCCCCTAAAAAAAGAAGAAGCAGAAACGGAAATGCCAGCCACTGGATATGTTGATTGGACACCTTCCGGCTCGCCCTGGAACCCCGGAGCAAGACCCCGCTACTTTTGACAGCAAATCAAAAGGGGTACGAGATTTTAATGGGAAAAGACCCCCGTGGTGAATATGTTTACTACATTTACATGGTGATGTCTGTCCATGGAGTAGCCACAATCCTTCTTTCCCATTGGGGGTCTGGGGTCTATGTTTTGGGCAGGACTTAGTGTCCCATAAAAGCCAAGGGACGAGTCCTAAGTTGCCCCTGTCCTTCACCAACCCCCCAACGACTTTTTTTTGGACAGCTTGCTTGGGGTTTCGGGACATTGAAGCCACCTAGATAGCCATAAGTTGCTCTTTTTTTTTTCAGCCGCTGTCGCTGGTTTTTGGATGGCAACGTTCCTGGGAAGAAGCGATGGCACCTGGCGATCCAGGACACATTTTGGGTGTGGAACTTGACGCGCCGAGCGCGCGGCGAAGGTCAGCGTCGCAAAAGTCCACCGACAAGCGCGGCGCGGAGCCCGAGCGGGAGCGAGCTCTCGGGGATAGCACGTACGAGCCTTTGCAGGACAAGGATGTACCCGGAGTCTCCTTCTGACCCTTTAAAAATGGGTCCATGACCCCATTATTTTTTGGGTAATGACCAACCATTTTAAACCATTTTAAAAGGGTCGGAAGGAGACTACAGGGAACCCACGACACCTTGCCCCAGCCTTTCGTACCAAACCAAGGGTGCCCATTTTTTCCCATGGCCACGTCGGCCGCTGGAAACTGGGAGCCCAAGACAACCATAGGGCCTTTGACCCAAAGACGGTTTCAGGCTTGCTTCCATTTGCTGAAGATGTTTGTTTTTGTTGCCGTGTTTGTTATCCTCCCTCCTTGGTTCTGAAGGGAACCACTGGACGTGTTGTTTTTTTCTCCAGAGGCTTAAAGGACATGGTTCTTAAATTTCGAGACGGGCGCCAACGGCATCCAAGGCCGCTGAGCCTGCGAGGCGATGGGGCGATTCGAAACGCGCCGCAGATGGTTTGCGTTGCGCCGCAAAACGGATCGGTGTTCGAGTCCCAAAAGGTTGCACCAGGGTGAAGAAATCCCTTTATTTGACCGTGGGTCAAAACCCTGTACCCCTGGTGAACATCAAAATAGCTGGCAAATGGATGTTCATCCACACCAAAATGGAGCCATATAGGTTATGCCCATGGCCAAATTTGGGTTCGTAGGGATGACGATCCGAGAACATCTTTTGCCCAACTGAAACCTCTGATGGTTGGATCCAATTACCTATACCCTAATTGGGGAGTCATCCAATTATTGTGTGGGGCAACACGCTTTGTTTTGTTTGGTGGGGCATCAGTATGCAATATGCACAAACATATCGATACATTCATGGAACAGGGATTCGCCAAGTTGTCTAAACTTCCTGGTATGGCGAGTAGGTAGTTTGAAGGACCTTTGTATTTTGTGCATTTCGCGGTGCGGCCTGTGAGAAGTTTAGACCCAGGACAAATGATGTTCCGGGTCGCCGCAATGCGGCTGATGGTCAGTAAGAAAGAGTGGCTCTGAACGGACAGTGTTCGCTAATCATAGGCTTTGTATCATGTGTGTTTGTGGTTCTTTCTTTTTTCATTCTCTCTCTCTTCCTCTCTATCTCCCTCTCTCCAGGTCCGTTCCAGTGACATCTTCAAATTTACCCTCCAAATGGCGGTTTACTTGAAAGACCCCCGAAAGTAGTTTTGGAAACCTCTCCCACCCATCAACTCCATTCTAACCATTTCATGCACAGCGCAGTTGTTGGGACCTGCTGGTCAGAATGTGGACTTGGGTGTATATATTTTTTAATGTACCCACAACAAAAACGTGGTGTTCCTTTTGGTTGTCCTTTAAACCATACAAATGTAACATTTCGAAATTGAACGGCCCCGGGCTCCCTCTCTAAGGGAACCACAGAGGAAAACCATCATTTGAGAGGGGGCCCGCTGAAAACAGCACACCCATGCTTGTTTGGATAGAAGTAGCGAGTTGAACGCTAAACTAAAAGTAAAATTCCGACGTAAGGTTTGCTTTGTGTGCCAGGAGCTGGTTGGTTTCAATGACACGTCCCAAGCCAATGTATGGGCCAGTGAATGAAATCGGATCCCACGCATGGCCCTAGATACCAGCACCCGGGTCCCAACTCCACAGCGCTTTTTCAACCATTTCCAAAACCCTGAGCAGGCTTCATAGTTACCTTTCTCTTGAACCGTACGCTTGAATCCAGGATATTGTTTGTGTCTTGCCGTTACAGTGCTTTGCATCTACGTCCTGGAGTTGTCTAACGTCCGGACAAAAGGGTGCCACAGATGATATGGGCCTTTGACTTTTCTCCGGGTTGTCGCAGTTGGAACAGGGATCCTTTCTCTTAAGCTACTCCTCCGGGGATGATAGCTTGATGGAGCCAGAAGATTGTCAACCTCTCATGTCCCGAATTGGTGCCTTTCCTCCCTTTGCATAGTCTTTCGGACAGATCCCACCACGCCTGCCAGAGCAAGTCCAGCCCTGAAATTGTGAGGTGCAAGGTACCTTTTTGTGAGTTGGGACGGGGAATAGCCAGTACAGCATGCCTTAGATGTAGGGTCTCCTCCAATATTTACATTGTAGGCTATACTAAACATGGAACGGAGTCAAGCAATACTTGTTTCCCGTGTGTGATAGCACCGACATGCGTTGAGAGTTCAAGTCCCAACGTCTCACCGTCGTTTCACCGTCGTTTTGAGCTGCCGATCAGAAAGCAGCGTGTCACATCAGCGAGCCTGGGGGCCTTGTGTATGATTGAGTAGGTCCCCCAACTAGGTGCCCTTCTCTACCCTTTTTTGGTTGGGCGAGTTCCCCTACTAAAATAGACTACGGAAAAAGTTGGTACCCTTATTCTAACGTCTCTACTGGACATTAGGTACCCCACCCGAACCCGAACCCGAACCCGAACCCGAACCCGAACCCGAACCCGAACCCCCCCCCCCACCAAGAACCCGGCCCCGAACCCGAACCCGAACCCGAACCCGAACATTAAAGTTGGATCACTTGTATCACAAGCAGGACTGGTCCACGCGGTTTCGGGGATTTCAGCCATGCCGCATGAGCCGCAATCAATAACCGATTCAGGTAGATGCAGGGTTGTAAAGGACAAACAATCCACAGCCAGAATTCGGCGCTGCCGTCCTCTGATAGTTCTTGACATGGTGGGTAGTGTTTCGGAGACATTAGTAGGGTTTGATTGTGAGTTATGTCGGATGGTTTGCGCTAGAGGTGCTTTCCATCGGCTGAGCCATTGGCAGGGCGTTCCGGATGGCTCGCGCGAGCTTCCTGGTCACTGGAGGGTAATTACTCTTTTTGGCATGGCTTAAAGGAACACCACCTATAGTTTGTAGATCCTCGCATGACATACACCCAGAGTAGTTCACGAGATCATCGGAAAAAATAGAACGACAAACGGCAAGTGGCACTACCAGTACGTCTGAGACTGGATTAGAACCCGTAAAAACCGACCAATGGGCTTTAGCATCATGCTCTCCAAGCCCAGATGCCAAGCGCCTCAATCGGGGGAGTATTCAATCTTGGTGTTGGACAGGGAAGCAGAAATTTGTTTGTGAGGAAACTCTTTTTTTTTGGCCGCTTCCTTGCCGTCGCTGTTTCTTCGTTCTTTTCTAGGTCCGCCAGTAGTGCCCTTTTACCTTTTTTGGGGGGGAGGCTTCCCCTACTAAAATAGACTACAGAAAAAGGGGTACCCTATTTCTAACCTCTCTACTGGAGGACCTAGTTTTTTTCGAGACATCTGGCATTCTGTGGGGTTCGACTGAGTTTGCCAAATCCACCATCGCACCGGAGCCATCCAGCCATTTGCATGCGTAGCCAGTTGTACCCTTTGTAGTGGCGCCACTGATCAAATGCTCAGGCGTGCGCCTTTTGTTGCTGCTCAGCTCACGCATGGCAGACTCGATCGCTGCGGTCTGCAGAGTGATGCTCGTGGTGTTGCTAGCTTACTGCTTGCCAAATGCCACATAAATCTCGACCAGATCAGCAAGCAGTCTCTTATGGCTTGTCTTTGTGGTCTGCCGTGAAGAGACCACAGGCTTCTAAAGTCGTGGGTAATTTTGTTGTAAAGATTTCGCGCGAAGGTTGGTTGAACAGCGATTGATTCATGAAACTTCATGCAACTGCCCACTTCCCGAACCCGGCCCCGAACCCGAACCCGAACCCCCCCCCCCCCGGGGCGGAGGTTCGGTTAGGGGTTAGCCGGGGTACACTCAAAACTAAACAGGAGGGGCAAACCGCACGTTTTGGTACCCATGTTTCCACTGACCAGGGCTTGCCCCATTTTTGGTAACGGGACTAATGAGACACAGCCAAATCACCCAAGAAAAGTTACCCAACGAGGACACCCCCTCAAATGTCATTGTCACCCGCCTCTGAGCCGACTGAGCCTCTCGTGTCACTCCCGAACCCGTGGTTCCGGGGTTCCGGGGCCACCAGCAATCCGGTTCCTTTGCTTTTCTTAGATGATTCTTGTTGGCTTCGTGGCTGTGTCCGAGTTTCCACAAGTCAAGCATTCAGCAGGGGATCTCAGGGCCCAGTTTTGTGATGACCCCATTCACCTACTAGGAGAGAGGGCTACAAGCCTCTAAGGCCCGGATCTGACCTTTGTTTTGACCGGGGGTCGGGTTCTGACCCTTTGGGAAAGGAGACATGTTTTTGCAAGGGGTGAAACTGCAACACATGGCTGTCCTTTTGATGGGTTAGCTTTTGGCTAGAACTAGATGGGTTCCACTGGTTTAGATGGGTCTTAGAAATCATTTACCAGGACACCCATCGATTTTAAGTCAGAAATGGGGCAGCTATGCTACCTTCGGGTATGCCTACGGCACTTCTTTTCCTGCCACTTTGCTCCTTAAGCCTTGAAAAAAAGCGTTAAGAACTTGGAATGCTTGAGCGACACCGTTGCCTTCGGAGCTGCAACACCAAACATGGGTGTGTCATGTCTTTCTTTGGGGGGGGGAAACCCCCTTTTGGTTGGTTTTATCAGTTAAAGGGAAGCCCAACAAGGAAACCACACATTTTGGGGGTGGTTCCCCCCTTTCAAGACAAGCCCATGGCTATACATTTCAATAGGGAAGCACCTCGTGTGACAAATGTGGCCATGCTGATGTCCACCAAAGGGTGCGGGACCCAATAAGAACTGACAATCTGTCATTGGCATTCTACTACTTCCAGGTCCCCCAGTAGCGTCCTTTTACTCTTTTTCGGGGAGGGTTCCCCTACTAAAATAGACTACAGAAAAAAGAGGGCACTCTTATTCTAACCTCTTTAGTGGAGGACCTGGGCTTCTTTGGGGAGTAAATGGAGGGAGAACCCTACATGTGGCACATGTAGAAAGTGAAGCACACCAGTTGCTGTGTGGACTTGTGAAACCGGCGTGCACAGTGCCCCGCCTTTTGGCTCGGGGCAGGGATTAGGAGAGGCCCAGTCGCCCGCACGTCCAGTGAATTCATGTCAGAAGCTCCAGCAATGCGCAGCTTTGGGGCAGCTGCAAAAACCTTTCTCCGAAAGGCAAACCTGTGTCAGCAGTTGAATTCTTGGCTCTCGGAGCCACGAGACCGAAGTCTCTTCCCTGTCTATTAGAATCAGGATCTGAACTTGTTTCCCTTTACCACTGCAATGAGAGGGCAGACACCACACTCACTGGATGATTGCACTCCCTGAATTCCTTTTCGGACTTTCGTCACTTGTTGGATTTGGTTGCTATTTTGGTGGCAAACATTTTTGGTTTGGTACCACTTTTTTTTGGTCAGTCCACTCAGGTGAGCAGTCTCTCCGAGGCACAAACTGCAAGACACTTCACCAGACCTTTCCGACTCGATGCCTTGCCTCGCCAACTTGTGGTCACCGGAGGAGCACAAGTACCGTATCCGCCTCCCCCGGTTTCCCCCCCAAAAAACATGTGCCTCACAAAAGGCCGGGTTCGGAATTCGGCCCCAAACAAATAAAAGAGTGCGGGTTTCCATTTAAAGCCAGCCAACAAAAAGGGTACCCTCAAAAAAGACACCCATGAGGCCATATCACCTGCTTTTATTTTGGGGGGAAACCAGGAGAAGGATGGTTGGGGGCGAGGAGGGTGGGATCCTATGAATACTTGTATTCCGGGCAAATTGTGCATTTGTGGTCGACGTAGGCGTCCTTGTGTGGTAAATATATCACAAGATCATGTCCCTCGTAGGAGCAAAATGCGAAGATAGCCACACCACATTCAGATCCACGACAGGGGGGGGTCTCTTTTGAGGGTGCCCCTGGAGTTGTTTTGAAGGGAAACCACAAGGACACTCACTTTTTTTGTGGGTATTGCAAGAGGCACCCACATGCATACATTGCATAATATGGTGATGGGATAATCCTGTGCGAGGTATCATCCATAGAATGTTCGCCCATAGGATAGTCCTTTGTAGGCAGGTTTGGTACGTGTGATTATCCCAACTGGCAGTTTTGTGCCCAGGTGGTTCTACCATCTGCTTCCATGAGGGTTATAGCAAGGGCTGTATGAACCTTCTCCAACAACTGCTTTTGCCCATTTCCAAAGTTCCAAGTACTATGGGAAAAGCCGTGGTTGGGGGTGCTGGTTGATGCAATGTTGACCCAGGATCCAAGTAGGGCCCCTCCAAAAGTGGTCTGAATCCCCACTGAAAGGAATTGAATACCCCAATCAACACCAACCTTTTTTTTGTTTTAATCCAGGGTCAAAATTGTGCATCGGAATATGTACTGGGCGGCGTGTTTGTGATTGTTTTTGTCAACTTCTAGTGATTCTAGTGTAGCATGCATTTCACAACCTTGCTTGAACACAGTCCGCGTCTCCAACGGTTCTGTCCGTGAAAAGCATGTTCTTCTTCGAGTCGCAGGAATCTTTTGGAGATCTGTGCACCTTCTCTTCCACTCACATAGCACCGGGAGGGTACCTAAAAAGCAATGTCCTCTCAAACGACGACCCCCCCCCCCCCGGTCAGCTTCCGTGTAAGTGAGTGGAAGGGTTTGTTCCTGGTGGTCTTTAGAACATCACTGCCTGGAAGTACCAGTTTCATGTGAGTTTCCTTCCTAGGCAGGACGTTGTTAGGTTAGACATATGGAGAACCGTGTGTGTTTCGGAGGGAAATGGAAATGCCTGGCAAACATATTATTTCGTTGGTGGCTCCTGAAGCAAATGGAGGTAGCTACAACTCGTAAGTATTCTCCCCACCCCCCCCCAGAGTTTGAGGGACATACAGGGCCTTCTGCAGATGGACGACCACCTTAGTACAAGTAAGCTGTGGTTGATATCCTCCTCCGTTAATAAGTTAGTGTGATGTACGTACCCTACATATAATCCACTTTGGGGACCCAGTAACTGAGGAGGTCCACTCACACAGAACCCACCAGGGACCCGGTCGATTGGAGGGCTTGTCTCAAAAGAAATTTGGGAACACCCGGCGACCGGCACCGGCACCGAGCTCCAGGAGCATTTCTGTACCTGGGCTCCGGTAGGCGGGCTGACTCCGGACTCCGCCCGAAAGCCGCAATGAACACCGGGGGAAATCAAGGTTTTCC